TTTTTCAACATAATTTTATTGTATTATTTGTTATATGAACATTGGTATGTTTCTTAATGGACATTAAAGAGCTGGGAAGTTTCATAAATAATTGCAAACTTACCATTTCAATGTATGCATTAAATACATGTGTTAAAAGAGGCCTTTTCGAATAGTAGTACAGCGAAGCTAGATATTCAAGTCCTTCCTCTACGTGAGTGACTTCGGCGGATACTGCTTTTACCAAATTTTCAATAACTACATCAATTGACTTCAGTCGTGTACGAAATTTAGTTATATCATCGTACCAGGATGTGTCGTTTACATCAGTTATTTTATTTTCCACCTGCAATAAATTATTATCTAATTGAAGGACATTATAAAGACGATCGCCTTAAAATAATTAATTTGTCATCCATCATATTATAACTACACCTACTCATCACGAAGCTTGTCTATTTTTAAGTGGAATTAATGAGTCACATAACCTTTTAATTAAAGAATTTGATTAAGCTGTAGTAAAATGGGAAATTTAAATAGGTACATCATGTTTGAAATAAATACCAAAATTTAACGTTTTAAAAGCCTAAAGGATATACAGTCCATTTCAATTTGTTAGAATTGCGACCTTGAAGAAATCTGCATGAAGATAGAAAGAATATACACTAGGCGTGTGCAAGACAGAAATAATTAGAATAAGTTTGAACGAGCAGAGCTCTCGATGGGCGGTCTTAGGAGATCGGCTAGAACTGTACAGTACTAGACGAAAATGTTTAGCAATTTCTTAAAACAAAAATGTATATAAATTAACAATAGAAAACAAAGCAAAAGTTTTATAGGTGTGTAGAACGTTAAGTTAATTCACTTGTTATTATTTTTGGCTAAATATGCTTTTAAATAAAGCATATTCTTAAATTTTAACGAGGCAGTTTAAATAATTTTTCAAATGGTACTGTACACTTTTGTCTAGTTTTCGCTCGATGATCGGTGGAGAAATGAGCTCCGCGGACAAATGTGATTGAATTTGGAATTATGCTACGGCGCATCCTAATCAAGGGAAGGGGCATATCTCTAACTTCCTGAAACGAACAGTACGTATTTCGATATGTGCAATCGTTAGAAGCCAAATTAATCTCAATTTAAAAGTTTATTATGTAATTAAGGCCCACTTCACCACATTTAGACACTTCGAAATTACGAATTAAAATCCAATTTAAGAGTGTGGGATTTTAGGGAGATTAGGTTAGGTTAGATTAGGAAGGTTACACTAGGTACTGGATTTAATTGTAGGGTAGTACAGCAAAATGTAAAAGTTTAATATAAAACGGAGAAGAGTAATCTACAAATTGTGTATGCTTCGTTAAACAACGTAAAATAAAACTAATCACCTGAATTTCCTTTTTGTTTATAATGTTAACTTATATGTATGTCTTCAAAGTTAGGTTATGGTTTGTTTAGGTTACCCTGATTCTCTCTGATTACAAAATTAAATTGAGAAAAATTTTAATTTCGATGAAACAAATCAGTAAATATTAGAAAAGTAACTGAGAAAACGCTTTGTGGATGTACTGCCATGCTTGCAAAGCGTTGTATAGCTAAACTAATCAAGAAGTGACGAAAAATGATTTTACTCGAAACGGATCGCGATTTGCTAATTTATTTCGGCATTCGCCACAATTGGGCATCTGGGCTTAATATATAGGTACAAAAATAAAGAATACCTTATGAACTCAGATATAGTAAAACCGCTCTTACTGTGCGGGTCATACAATTTATCAATGACAAACTTGTGTGTTTGTTTTCCTTTTATTTTCATACAAGTTAGACATGAGAAAAGCAGATAGACACAATTTTCAGCAGACATAAAAAGTTTTCATTAACACATATCTTTTTTTATGGCTTTTACAATATGAGTAATGAAAAGCAATTTTTAGGTAGGTATTCTACAACATCAACCAAGAACAAATGTATCAATACATAGATACTGCCATACCGGTACGTAAAATAAAACAAATTTCCTTTCTCGAAAAAAATTTTTTTGTATAAACAAACGTTTTTTGTAGACGCCGTGTAGGTATGCATTTTTTAGGTAGGTATTCTACAACATCAACCAAGAACAAATGTATCAATACTTTATGGCTATCATACCGGTACGTAAAATAAAACAAATTTCCTTTCACGAATAAAATTTTTTTGTATAAAAAAACGTTTTTTGTAGACGGCGTGTAGGTAGGTATGCATTTTCATTTAGTTCACATTCATAGAGAAGAAGACGACATTATCCAGTTTTCAGGAGTAATAGGAATAGATAAGGAGTGATGGGTAGGTTAGGTTAGGTTAGGTTAGGTTAGGTTAGCTGAATTGACTTAAGGCATTAAGTGATCCAAACAAACCTCAGAAAAACTAGGACCTAGGCAGGCAGACCCGAGATTAGTATTGAGAATGATATCGGTTCGATAAATAAAAGCTCTTAAATGCTACGCTATACTCTTGAAATACTTATTATTAGGAAAAATGTACAAGCCAACTGAGACAAAAATATAATTAACCACATCAAATACAGATGAAGTGGTCATTTTCATGGAAATATTTAATAAATCAATCTCAAGCTTGCAGTGCCCAATCATTTTTAGATTACCTTGCCTGTCATGACAAAGGTAATGAAAAGTCAACAAACTGAAAATTCTACTAATACATAAATATTACCATGTTTTCCAATATTAGCTAATATAAATTAGCTATGTAATCAATACATAAGGCATTCTAATAATTCAAAACCGAGATGTACAGTCCTAAACATAATAATTTCAAGAATGTAAGAATTAATCTATTAACTAAAAAGTTCATGAAATCAGATAGCAGGCCATTTTTACTTCGTTATTATGCTAATTACGAACAATACAGGTGGTTTTATTCATTGACATAGGGATGTATACATAAATATTGAGCTTAGAGAAAGACGAAATCACTCTCCTCCTTCCTACACAAATTCCACCAGGAATGTAAGGCAACGAATCGTATATACATACATAGTTAAGTTGTCTGTTGAGTTATTATTCATTGTAAACAGATTAGAATTTCTTTAGTTTGCAATGACACTGTAAAATAGTTGATTATTCATCTAGTTTCTATAGATTTCTTAACTAACTATTTTGAGTTATATAAAAGCTACAAGAACGTTAATAAACCATATTTTATAAAACAATATTTCATATAAACACCTATACAAAACCTGTAAATGCAAATTGGGTACAGACCTATAAAGCATTTTAGTTTTTTAATAGATTAGGTAACACCTGTACTGACTTATATACGATAATTACATATCGATTTTACAGAATCAATATCAAACAATTTTACAAAAGCTGTCTACTGTGCACTTGCAATAGGATGTTTTTACGAGGGATGTTTCCAAAGTTCTGGGAATTTAGTCATAACTTTTATTATTTTGTTAATTTTCATCAATATTGTAAAGTAGTTTTTCAACATAATCTCCATTTAACTGAATACATTTATCCCAACGATAAATTAATTTTTTTAAGCCGTCCTCAAAAAACTTTATCGGTGTCTCCTCAATCCATCTATTTATGGCACGTTTTACGTAGCCCGTATGGGTTTTTCAAATCTGGAAACAGGTGGTAATCACGATCCGAGGAGTAAGATGGGTACAGAAGCAATTCCCATCGTAAATCGTTCAAAACATCCTTCGTTTTTCTTGCGGTGTATGGTCTTGCAGTACGCTGTTGCAATAACGGATGTTTATGCAACTTTCCAGGTCGTTTTTTGACAAACGCCTGTCGCAGTGGCCAGATATTAAATTCGAGTAACATTCTTCGTTAACTGTAGTATCTTTCGCCAGATAATCCATAAAAATAATCCCTTCGCAATCCCAGAATACACTAAGTATTACCCTTCCAACAGATGGAACTGCACGCGCCTTCAGTGGAGGCCTTCTTCAGGTTTGCATCATTGTTGGGATTGACTTTTGGTCTCAGGATTGAAATAAAGAATCCACGTTTCGTCAGTGGTTATTATTTGTTGCTAAAATTCCAAAATGCATCACCGTAACGGGCTAATAGCTCTCGAAGTTGACGACAAATGTCAGACATATTGAGTGTCTGTTCTAGTCCCAACAGCCTTGCCACTCAACGCGCCGAAACCTTACTAACGCCCAAACAATCATGCAAGATGTCATGAACTCGTAGTGTACCTTTCCCTAGAATCACACTAATTTGACGAATAGTCATTCGCCTGTCCTCTTTCAGTGTTTCAGTAGGTCTTCGACAGCAGTAATGTTTCTTTCATTTACCGACGTACTTGGGCACTCACTGCGTAGATCGTCTCCTACTGATGTTCTACCGGTTTTAAAACGATCGATCCACCGACAAACAGTACTTTTGTATTCTTCAGACTCACCAAATACTCCTTGCGGACGCTGAATTCTTATGTTTCCACACCTTCTTTCCACAAAAAGAAAATTATTGTTCTTTGAGATTTTACTACGTCTTCCATGGTTACAAAAACAGTGATATGGAAACGCGTTCATATCAGTCGAACATCTAAATCATAAACTTGTCAAGACTTGTTTGGTACCAATAACATTTCCTGTAAGTTCTGCATAATTTAATTATAGCACAATTCCCAGAACTTCGGAAACATCCCTCGTATAAGGACAGCTTTAATATCCAACACAAAACATTTTCATGTCATATCAACATCAATAAAGTTGCTTTTCCTTTTTTGAACTGTCAATGAGAAGTAATTATTTTTATAAAAAGGTATTTTTGATGTCTACTTTTATTGTGAACTATTGGGTAACAGTAGTAACCAACTAAAACACGATTTTTCCCTTTTCCGTCAATATGAGATCGATTTTTACTGAGGATAAATATTTATTGTGAAATAAATAATGAAAATAAAGTAATATTTTCACGCGCCCCGTAGTTTATGGATATTTGACCTAATACCTAAAAGTTGAATTAAAACAAATGTTCAATTTTATTTTTGCTTATTAAAACATATATATTAGTTCGTCATGTTCAACAAAAGTTTTTCCTATCACAATGTTTACTCTAGAATGATGATTTTCAGTCGTTTTGGGTGTTTTGGTATTGAGTATTAAAATTGTTGTTAATCGAAAGCCAAGCAGTACGCATTTCATTAAAAATGTGAAATATTAAAATAGAAAATTATATTTCAAAATAAGTTAATGTGTATCAATCAAAATTTTCTTTCAAAAATATCGTATGTCGTCCCATTCTTTCCTGCGTATCCACCAGTCGGTTCAGTTGTTTTGATTTTTTACAATTAAAAAAAAATTTCTTTTCAATTTATATTTAATACTTTTTGCACATACATAACAATATAACACTCAGGCCACAGTAAGTAATACCTATTGAAACTATCACATTTGAATCATAAACGTTTCATAAGCATCCTTTTAGAAATAAAATTGCATTTATTTCAATTATTTAGTTATATAAAGGTGTTACATAAGCTTAATTGAATATGAATCTTTTCGGCTTCCACGTAACTTACGTTACTTTGCAGTTTTCTTATTTGAAGTAACATTATTCTATTAAAAACGTTAACGAAACTGTTTTCTAATTCTTTTATGTGACGCTATAAAACTGCTATAAGAACCTTGGAGAGTATAAATAAGTATCAGTAGACACTTTTATAAATCGACTGAATTATACTAGCTAAATTGTTATATACAAGTTATAAACGTTTATGAAATGGTCCGAAATTTATCGTAAAAGATATTTTATAATTTTGTTTCAAGAATGTTCTTAAAAGTGTTTTAAATGGTGGTATAGCTCTGAACTTAACTTTTAAAAACTAAATTTGTAATTTTGCAACAGCAATAAAGTCCTAATAATATTAAATAGCTCAGTTGTTCAAAAGCAATAAAGTCAAACTGTTAGTTGGGTCAAATCATCATGATTAATAAGTTACCTCAACTAAATCAGTGAAAGCCTCCTGAAACATTAGTTCAATTCTAGTACACCATCCGGCAAATTCATCTCCTTTAGATCCACCAAACATTCTTTCTTCGATCACCTTAATTTCGTGGTACCTGCCTATATCTTTCATTGCTAAACAAACTTCGATCATATCTTTACACCGCTGAATAAATGTATCCACTTGATTAAATATATGTCCTCTGTTTAACTTCCATGGTTCTGAACTCAGATGTGAATGTATTGTAGAGACCTTCAAAATTTCAAATAAGTATTATTATTAATTTACTTCATCCATGTATGTAAATAAAATATAAATCTAATGCAACATAGTATTCAAACTACAAGCTAGGTAATTTGGTAATTTTATCATCAGGATTTACAATTTGGTAGGTTGGAGAAGATACTATGTGGACGAAAAACTTATCGAAACAAGAAAACTACAATAATATGTATGGAATATTTGCTTTAACAACGGCAGTAATCAGTTAAGGTCGTAGAATGTTCAGATGGAGTAGTCATGCGTGATCCGCAATTCTAACTAAGAAACTAAAAACAACTTTTAGTTATTAATCGTTTATTAACTGAAAAACTAGGGGCTACCATAGACAAAAATTTTCAGTCTCTCTCCGGTCTTTCAGAGTCTTTCAGAGTGTTTCAGCGTCTCTCACAGTCTTTCACAGTTTCTCAGTTATTGCTTAGGTGTTTTTATGGATTTCTCACAGTCTCTGTATGAGAGACTCGAACGATAAAATTGTTAATTCAGAGATTCGAGTCTCTCACAGAGAGTCTGTGAGAGATCCATAAAAACACCTAGGCAATAACTGAGAGACTGTGAATGACTGTGAGAGACGCTCTCAGAAACGCTGAAAGACTCTGAAAGACTGGAGAGAGACTGAAAATTTTTGTCTATGGTAGCCCTTAGTTTTTCAGTTAATAAACGNCTAAGTATTGTTGAGGAAATTCATTTTCATCCCAATTTAAAAATTCATCCACAAGACTAACTAAACGGTAGATAGGTGCCTACACACTTTGTCTAAAAAGGATACTGTCCGGCCATGATTCTTGTTTCAGAAATATTGGTAAATAAAATAGCTCAATATGCCTAAGGATAGAACCTTCCACTTTATAATCTACGGTGCCAAAGTGAATCTTATCGTGAAATGTGTCAACCTGAAATATTTCTCCAGGATCTCTATAAAAGAACATTAAATCGTCGAAGATACACTCCGGGTAATTCAAAGAGCAAAGCAGATTATGTTCGTCGAAGCAGACGGTCAGTGTCATGTTAGATACGTAATAAAAGAAGTTTTTAATCACTTCTTTATTTGCTTCTGTCCAATCATCATCACGCAAATCGTATAACGTTGTCATTTTCATAATAAACGACACTAGTTTATCAATTTCTTCCGGTGAGTATTCCACCTGTTTTTCTTTCTCTTCATCATCTGGTATTATGATCCTTACAGTCTTTTCTAAAATATCAAGGAGGTTTACGCTAAATGCGTATGTTGCAAAAACTAAATAAGTACGAATTAATAATTCATAAACGATTTTTCAATAGTGAATATTAATATTTTATAATCCTAAAAATTGTCATTACATTATCATAAATAGCGTATAGGTTAGTTCATCTTCTACTTTAAACATCGGTGTTATTTCTTCTGAATTTGTTTACTGTATACTGAAAACTGACTTTGGAAATTAATAAGAAACTATCTAATTTATTGTTTAATACTTTATATAAATGAAATAACTCCCGATATTCTCTGGTTAGCTCTAAACTATAAATGTTAAGTCTTTTGGATATTTATATTCAACAAAACGAAAAAATTGATGTTGAACTCCTAAATCTTTACATTGACGTTGGGCCAAAGAATTCAATACAACAGATGCGTACATTAGTTTACATATAATAATAACATTGCTTTTCCTTAATAAATTTTAACTAGTCACTCTTAAACCAGGAACCTCCCAATAATTCACAACGTAGTTGATCAATTTCAGTAAATAAGAGAGTTCCGTAAAGTCAATGCGTGCGTCGTTAATTTCCATTGATATACAATGTCATATTCTTGAAAATTTGCGATACATCTACGTTTTACCGTTAATTGTCCTCAAGCTGGTAAACAAGCTCGTTGTTTGGATCTGTGAAACTTCACAGCATACCTTATCAATTGCAAATTCAATCGCCTTTCGATTGTGTTTGGGATACATTCATCGTCATAAGGTCGTCAGTCCTGAGACTAGTTGGACACTCACCTCCACTCTTTCCTATCCTGAGCTAAATCATCGCATTTCCCTAAAACTAGAACAACCCATATCCTTAACTATTTGCGAACAGTAATCTAATCTAGGTCTACCTCTACCCCTTCTAACTTCCATTTCTGCCTTTAATATGTCTCTGACTAGATCTTTATGCCTGAGAAGATGTCCTACTAACCTATCTCGCCTATTTCTTATTGACTTCCATAGAGTCCTCTGTTCTCTTACTCTTTCTAATACCTCTTAATTTCTAACCTTCTCTATCCACGGTATCCTCATCATTCGCATGTAACAACACATTTCGAACGCTTCTAACCTTTTCTTTTCCGCCGCGCCCACNCGCAAGAAGCGGAAGCACAGCACAGAATAGGAGCAGCTGCAGCAAGCCCAGTCAGCCGTGTAGCGACAGCAGCAGAGGTCGATCAAGGTGCATCGGCACAGACGGCCTCGGCTCAGCATCAGACCAACGGGATAACCGCCGACCGGGCCAAGTATCTCGCCGTCGTCACTGCCCTGGAGGATCTAGCAGTCACCGTATGCTCATAAACCCAGCAGCGGAGAATCAATACAAGCACCTAAAAGACCTTAGTCGAGACTGCTCCGACGTCCAGCTGTGAAAGCTATTCGGTTGGCCGACTTAAAGCCGTCCCAGCTCCTCCACCAGATGAAGAGCTTAGCCAAGAACAAGGTCTCGGATGAGATCATAAGCATCAAGTGGTTCGTTCTTCTTCACCTACAGATAACCTCCGTGCTCTGGGTCATGAGAGCGACCGCCCTCAGATAAACTTTAGGAGTCATTGCCCCAGGTCAACTTAGGTCGGCGCCTCGTCCAGAGGTCGGTTGCAGCCGCCGGGAGCAGTCAAGCACAAGACATAGCCAGGATTAAGGATCTGCTCAAACAGCTGGTCCCAAATAACCACCGCAGCCGAAGCATAGGACAGCGCAGCCGACCAACAACACCAGCAAACTATCCGGATTGGCACTGGTATCATCAAAAGTTCGGTGTGGACACGGAGATGCCGCAAACCATGTACTTTCTCCTTGGGTTCGGAAAATCAGTACAGCCCCCCTCTCAGCGCCAGCCATTGACGCTCACGGCTGTTAATGCCTCGCCGATTGCCACGTCCGACAGATATACCTTGTCGCTCAATCTCAGCTTTCGACGAGTCGGAACATGGAGCTTCAACGCCGCACATACCCAGATCGTCATTATCGGTGGCGATTTCTTGGTTCACTTCAAATGTCTCGCCGACGTCTTGGGTAAGCAACTGATCGACCCGACAACTAACCATTCCTCGCTCGAATCTCTAGCGCCTGCAGTCATCCACAGCGTGTCAATGGTTATAGCACCAGCTACCTGAGTCGTCGCCACGCGTATCTCCCTGCAGAGGAGACCTCTATTCTCTGAAGGCCACCACGGTGGCACTTCTGAACCTGACTTAAGCCTCTGCTCGACTACCCTCGCTTTGCCCTGCACCCGCTGATCATTGACGGCCACCGCATACAATACGACATTTCTGCAGAGAACGTGAGGCCGTACTTACCCGAGAAGCTCCCCAAGACCGCCTTCGAAGTTTTACATAACCTCTTGCATCCTAGTGTGAGAGCAACGGTAGACTTCGTCGCCAAGAAATTCACACGGCCCAAGAAGCGCAGCGACCCTTTAGGCCAAAAATCCGAACTCCTAGGTTCATAGGCACAATCGCACAGCTCTGGGCAACTTCGACACGCCGGACAGTCGTTTCGACCACATCCACGTAGACTTGGTGAAACTTCCACTTTCCAGTACTGCATGACTACCATAGACAGGTTCAGCAGATGGCCCGCCAACGTTCCCATACCTGCAGATTTAGACCGTCGCCAGAGCTTTATACAACAACTGGATCACCTGTTTCGGAACGCCTCTCACATTGGACCAGGGGTATAGTTTGAGGCAGCCTCTTCACAGAGCCAAGATGATCGGCGCTCAAAGTGCTCGGTGTATTCTTCGGTGCAGAGCCACTCGTTCGCCAACCCACCCTCCTTTCCCTATGGTCTACGCCGACTCACCCAGGCCCTCAAGCCGATCTGAGAGATTTCGCACATCTTCCGATGCATCGATGCTGTCCAGAACCCTGTCGACCCTCCTTACATGGGGCCGTACAAGGTGATCCTGCGGAAAGACGATCACAACTATACAATCAAGGTCAAGGGACATTCATGCATTTTCTCTACGGACACGCTGAAGCCTACCGACGTGCCGACCACCAGAATCAGCCTCGGTCTTCTCCGTGTATGATAAGGCTCCGCGACCAGAGTCCTCTAATTCACCATCAACTGTACTGCCGATGCCTCCTTCCGCCTCGCCGCCCACCTAGCTCACACCCGGACCATCAACTCAACTCGACAAGGGCAAGAAACGAGTTTGGTTGTGTCCGCTTCAGGAGTCCCTGTGTCACCAGTCGCTGGCCGAAGCCGAAATCAAACTTCGCATCACAAAAAACAACTCGCCATCTCTCTCCAACAAGTTCTCTGCAATGCCGATCTTTTATAAGCGAGCGACGACTCGATCCGACTAAACAAGTTACTGAATTTTATTTGCAACAATAAATGTGTTTGGTAACCGCTGACTTCTTATTCAATAACCTGGCACGCTACCTCCGTCATCCTTAGACATTGGTTCACCCGCGACAATTCCCAAAGATACGCCAAATTCGAAGTCTGCAGAAACGTATTTTGTCAGTTATTAATGTATATTTAGTGGATGTGCCATGACTTATGGCTATAGTGAATAAAAATTGAAATTGCTAAGTTAGAATCTAAGAAATATGTGAAAATGTACAGTAAGCGAGTCTTTTAAAACATATGACCTCCTATTGTACCTGCTGGAGGGTGGATGTAACTAATAAGCATTCATTGCACTAGTCAAATTTATGTTAGAATAAATATCATTCACGTTATATAGTCCTGTGTTCATTCCTACAGTTCTTCGAATAATTTACGATTTCTCTTTTTTCTTTGATGCCAGCAAAATCTATATCAATGTAAATATTTTTTGCTAGGTATTATTTTATAAGTATGGCATCGCAAAAAAGGCAGCAGTGAGAGGAGACAAATATGTGATAAGTAATAAATACGATGAAAAATCGCGATATGGGATTCAAGCTTGTAGCAATCAACGTTTCAAAGACTACTCTTCCGAAGCCAATTAATAGTCCACAAGGAAGCTGTAAAGGCGACTTAGGAGTAAAACAGTAAAAAGAGAAGTAGTTCGATATAGAGAAACTCGTTTTTTTTTTTATTTTAGAAATAAACAATTACTTATATTGGATTTGAACTGGCTGAATGAAACAAAATTAAATACAGTTTTAACTGAAAAACAAAAATGCCGAAATGGAAGTAGGTAAGAGGCTTCCTACATCGCAATCCAAGGGTGTCATTACAATGGCCAGAAAATATTTCATTCTCATTAACGACAATATCATGTGTGTAATGAATGCTAAGAATACTTTCCTTAGATAGAGGATGAAAATGTCTTATGAGCAATGCACATATTAATGGTATATCATCTTCTGAAATGGAAGGTTGAATAACAACAGAAATCTTTTTATTTTTCTTTTAGTGGTTAAAGAAGGTCGTGGGATGTTAGTTGGCTTCTCAAGAAAATAAAGTATTATTACTTCTATATGGCCACAGAAGTCATAAGAGTTTCCAGTTTATAAAATTTGTTAAGGAAGATGGTGTAATACCATCCAGGAAAAGCAATTTAGACCAGCATCCTTATTCAAAAAGTAGGTATTATTTAAAAAGTGCACTTCCAGTGGACGCCATGAATTCCTTTAAAAAGAACGAGAATAGAACCTATTAATTAATATGTTTTTTAATCATTTAACCTTTCTTCTATGTAAATAATAAAATATCAATAGATGCATCATGCATAAGATCCTCCTTCTTATCTGTTTGGAAAAACAGAATTCATTGTACAAACGCTAATAACATGTTGACTTTTTGCGCCTACTTGTTCGCATCCTTTAGCAGCGTAAACCTTTACTGTTTTTATTTGTACTGTCATTAAAAATGTTCTCTGGAAGAAAGTTCTACTTTTGCAAAACATGATCTAACGCAGTAAAATGGGTAGTAATATTTGTTTCGTTAAAAGCTGGAGCCCTTGTTAGTAGTTGCCAATCAAAATCAAATCCTTGAATTACGCTGTAGAAAACCTCTTACTCAT